GGTTGTCCAAAGATAACGCTTAAAAAAACTACTCAACTATTCAATTCAATTCAAGTTTATTTGTATAGTGCTTTTCACGACACAACTCGTTGCAAAGCAGCTTTACAGAAAATGTTTAAAAGTAATGCATTACTTTACTAGTTACTTAAAAAAGTAATCTGATTACGTAACTCGCGTTACTTGTAATGCGTTACCCCCAACACTGACAGTAACCGATACAAACACTGTTGATGAATCAATGTCTTCTTAAGCTAAATGTGTAAGAAAAAATACTACTACTAATATATCTATAACTTCTGTTTTAGCTTCTGTTTACTCATGAAAAATGGGGGCAAAAACAAAAGTTTTGCGTTTATAATTTTGTTCAGTGTATTTAGGAGTAGATTATTAGTTGTGGCTATGGCAGAAATGTACAGTAAAAAGCATGCAGTTAGTTACAAATTGTAATCAAACAAACGGTGAACACTATTAACTGCAATGATTATATGTTGCGATTAAACTTTCAACTACACAGCAAAGACAACTATGGCATCGTGAAGCACCTTTATTTTTAAGAGTGTAGTTAGAATAAAGTACAAATACCCCAAAATCAAGTACAGGAATCAAGTAAAATTACTCAAGTATTTTACATCCCTGGTGATTTCTGCCCTTTTCTGGTAAAATAGCAGACCTATTAATAAAATATTGCTATATGGTTTGACACACTTTGTGTTTTATTTACTTACAGGTGGCGTTGAGTGTCAAAGTGACCACAGCATTCAGACAGTCCAAATAATCCTTCAGGACACGTCTGAGGTGTGTACGAACCTGAGAAAGACTGATTGCTTAACAGATCTGACCTGTTAATGTGATACCAAGATATGACCTCTGGTGACCTCAGCACAACATCACTGTTGTGAGACTCAAATTCATAGTATAATGTATTATATGATGTAACCCAGCAGGCACAGGACGTCAGTATAACTGATGTTCAGGGTAACGTCAGTATTTGACGCCAATTTGATGTTGGATTTTGGTTACACAACCTATAAAACAACAAACATCAATGTCAGCCGATGTCGGTATTGGACATCAAATTAGCATTGACATTAGATGTTGAGTTGACATTGGATTTTGGTCACCCGACATCGCAACCCAAATTGAACCAAATATCAACGTCTTACGACATTGTGTGCCTGCTGTAATTGTATTAAAAATCCCACAGACTTACATTGATAGAGCCATAAAGACTCGAATATCACTGGGTGAAGGATAGTTTTCGTGCCAGACAGGAAGTAAACAAAGAACAACACTCTTAAAACTCAGAACACCTTAGAAACGGCGTAGTATTATCCTAGCAACCACACACACTCTAGAATCTTTGGGCCAGGTTGTTTATTTATTTCAAAATAAAATGTGTACTTCTTTCCGTTACATTCATTTAATCCATTTTAAATCAAGTTTGGCATTTGACATTTTTTATTCTTATTTTTGAATTTCATTTTTTAGATATATTAATTCATTTTTTAATCTATTCATTATATTTATCTTATTATTTGTCATTTTTGTCTATTTAAATGTAACCTTAATTCATTTGATTTCATGTTATTTGTTTATTATCCTTTAGCTCATATGCCTGTGTAAAATAGGCTACATTAAATCTCCCCTGTATAAATATATATATATATATATATATATATATACCTGGCAGATGAAATGTAAATGATTTTAAAAGGGATCCAACAGTCCTTGGGACATTTTTAACGGCGTTTGCTGAATATTACACAACTAAAATACAAAGTCATTTAATAAAGCCTGCTGGACAGTGAGTTTTCTCCTCTGAGGAGATGCACTTGTGTCTGATTATAGCTCATTAGACTTAAACTGTGACTCATTTCCCTTTGCTAACACCATTTCTTTGTTTATCTTCCTTCTATAATGTAGCATAAACCCTAAACTGCAGCCCATAAAATAACCATCAGGAGAAAATATTGATATATTATTTACATTCACGCATTCGGCATTATGCATTTCTTGGGAATCGAACCCATGACCTTGCGGTTGTGAGCTCTATTTGCTTTCCATGTCCTTCGGCATGACCTCACGGGAGTTATAAACAACTATAAGAGTAAACAGATTCACACTTCTGATGTCAGAACTGTTTACCTACGTGCCTCTTTTCCCGTTTCTAATGAGCTTAAAGCATTAAGCTCCTCGCGTCTACCTGACCGCACACATGGGTATCTATTTCTCATCCTATTGATGCAATCTGGTGTTTTCCCTTCAGGATCTGACGTGTCTCGAGAGTCAGTCGTGGCTCTTATAAAGAGGCCTGCTCAAGCGTCCATGCATTGATCACGACAGTCAGCTGCGCTCAAAGACTTCTCGTCTCTATCTAAGCAGACATGGAGCCCATCAGCCAAACGATGAGCGTGAGTGTCTCAGACGGGGTTTACCCCCGCAGGCCGGTGTGTTTGATGCCGAGAGGAGCCTCCTCTCATTTCGTCGGGAGCACCATTGTGATTATGTCCTCGTACGCCGTTGCAACTCTGGCCATGAACTGTGGCAAAAAGATCCAGGAGGAGAGATTGAAATCTTCTGAAAACTGACGCTGAGTGCCTCATCAGACACTGCTGTTATTTGCTACAGACATGCACCTTGGAGAGTCTTTCTGCACTGAAAAGTTCACCGCACTTTGGCAGCGTACTTGTCCTCAAGGTGTCGGGTCATACATCTATGCAAACTTCGAAGAGATGTTTTTCACCGTGATCCTGCCGAACAAAGAAGCCAAGAACAGAGAAATAGACACGATTGTCTGCATCAGCCGTCATGTGAGTCTACCAGAGGAGTATTGAGTATCAGTTCATCTCAAGACTCTGGAAAGCTAACCGAAATGAGGCCTATGGGAGCAGATTTTATAGGCTTTTAAAGATAATTCCATTTTTTATTAAGCTTGTGTTTGTTTTATTCCAATAGTGAAGCACTGGGATACATAGACAGTTTTATCAAATCAAGTGTCATTTGCTCATTGCAGTGTACCGAATTTATTAAAATGTTTTAATACGTTGTGTAAAGAAGCTTGATTGACTTTGCTTTGCACTTCATAGAGCATCTAATATAATTTCACATGATGACAGACCTTCACATAAGCAAACATTCTGTTGCGTTCAGAAGTCAGTAATTTAATAACTACACTCTAAAAAATGCTGGGTTAAATACAACCCAGTGCTGGGTAAAATAGGGACAAACCCAGCAATTGGGTTGTTTTGACCCAGCGGTTGGGTTACTACCCAGAAGGTTGGGTTAAACATTTAAACATTTAACCCAACCGCTGGGTCAAAACAGCCCAATTACTGGGTTTGTCCTTATTTTACCCAGCACTGGGTTGTATTTAACCCAGCATTTTTTAGAGTGTAATATCGTGATTCATTTGCATGTTACAAGAGCAGACCGTTATTTTTTTTTCAACAGTGCAGATACATTCAGAATAAAAAGTAGATTTTCCTTTTAAGTAAATCCGAGTGGTATTTACATGTGCAAAACTCACCGCCAAGGCCTGTCCTCAAAAAGAAAATGGTCTAATTCTATGAGAAAAGTGATGTCCACGCCATAAACACAGTGATAACGGCACAGAGGAATGATATTGCTAAAATTACTTTCAGAACATTTCTAGGGAAATCTAGGTGGTTTTAAGCACATATTTGCCGGCTGTTCTGATTGGTTGCTAATTTGAATAAAACAATCGTCTGATAACTTGGTAAAGAAACAACACTCATGATTTCTTTATTTTAATGCTATTTGTTTTAATAATATTTAGTGTAAGAGGTTTGGCCTTTTATTCCACAGAGAGACACTTTTAATTCTGATCCCCGATCTGTCATTAAGAGAAATAATCATGAATGCCCTTGAGCGACCTGATATGCTTTGCTGCACTTCCTGTGCCCATCACTAGATGGAGAGCTGCTATACACAGCTACAGCCGAATGTCTGAAGTCTTCCAGCAGAGGGCGCTCTAATGATGAGAAAAACAGGCATGTGTATTAACCTGATGAAGTGAAGAAACTCTATGCACAAATATCAAACAATTTCGCATTTTTGAGATCCTGCATGGGCTAGTTCATAATTTACGCACGATAATTGCAATAGCATTCAACTTAAAGTTATTTACAGATTAGTGTGATTAAGCAAACATGTGTGAACGAGAAAATAAAGCGAAATAAACCGTGACAAAAGTTCGATACTCGCGCTGACTGACGCACAGCCAAAGAGCTGGCACAGAAAGCCTGTCACACTGGCATGAACGATCAAATACACATGAAGTTATGTCTTAATGCTCATCTTGGTGAGTATTCATGTAAACAGTCAGTTAAGTCTCAAGCAAATGTAAATATGTGGGAGAAAAATGGATCAATATATTGGATCCGCATTAGGTCTTAAAGTGACAGTAGCCTAATTCACCTGTGGCTGTCTGTACTTAATGTTTTAACAAAAAACAAAAGGGTGATCGATTACTTGCCTTTCTTGACCGTATGAAGACGGAATAAGCAGCAAAACAAGCCTTCAGCGTCTGCTGAGAGAAAATACCATCTCTCACGATTAGTATCTGTTTACTGCAAATGGCTTCTTTTCAGTATTATAAATATGTCATATTCAACCAAATATATCAGACAAACAGATCAACTGGCTTTTGAGATTATTAGACACTTTTACATCCACATTATGGTACCAGTCAGAGACTATTAGTTTCTTTTTAATATTTAGAATTTTATCGACATCAAAATTCACGTTTAATTCAACGTGTTGCTGTTTCTTTGTAATTGTTTGTGAAATATCCATTTCTAAGTAATATGCCATATTATTTCAGTGTACTTAATGTTTATTTTATTTTTCAGTTTATAATTTTATATAGCTGAAATAAAATCAGTTTGAGTTTTTTTCTATATTTTAATTTATATGCTTCCAAATAACCTTTTTTATGGTTTTGGTTTTAATGTTATAACCCTGCAATGTATATGCATTATGTTGTTTTAGTGAACTTTGAGTAGTATTTCATAAAAGTAATATTCATTTCATTTCTCTGTGCATAATTGTACATTTTATGCACTTGCAATTTATTCCAACAGTTAAACGAACAAATGAGACTTTAAACCAGCTAGAATACGTTCATGTTGACATGCTTGTAATGGGACAAGAAGCTTAGGCGTCCCAATTTACCCGCTGTCCCAGATTATCCTAATTCCCCCTGGATTGACATCCAGTAACTGTCATCAACTGTACCGGGACAGGTTTTTGGAAGATAAAATGTCAGAAAACGCAGACGGCAGGTGCAGAGAGTGACTCAGTAGCAAGGAAACAAGGTCAAATGAAATAAAGCATCTGTATTGTTATTATTAGAATGCATTATCAAGGTGTCTTGGTTTTGATTCTGTTTATATTAGGTCGTTATTGCTTTTATTGTGTTTCTTTGATAACTACACTCACTAAGATCAAACTGATGACAAATGTGTGTGTGTGTGTGTGTGTGTGTGTGTGTGTGAGTGGGAGAGAGAGAGAGAGAGAGAGCCAGAGAGGGAGGGGCGTTGTCATCGAGATGTCCTTCATCTACAGCTCCGGGAGAAGAGTGTGTGGATCAGAGCGAGAGCATCCGACGCTCACAGCAGCCACTACACGCCTCCAGTATCAGGTATGAAGCAGTTTTATGGACATACAAACAGTCATTTGTGCTTTGGAAGAGCCAACTCTGACATAAGGGTGTTTGTTGTGTGTAGTGGAGTAAATCGGTCTGTGACTGTCATCCTCTTAGGCTGGACACAGTTAAGGACATTAACATGAGCAGCACAGGAAGACTGAAAGTAGTCAGCTAGAAATTTCATTTTCATTATCATGATGCTTTCTATTAGGATTCATTCAACTTATCAAACTTTATGTGTTGAACTGAACCTTTCCGTTACTGTAATGGTGATTAAAACTCAATTGAAAGTTTCTGTAGATCATGATGTGACGTATTTTATTGAGCAAACAAAACAGCAAGATTTAAACTGGGCCTAAACTTAAACTCATGTGCAGTGTTTACAGACTGCTGGATTCATTAGTTTTAGTTTTTATTTTATTGTGTTTTATTTTCATTATTAATGAATGCTTATTATAATCTTAAAGGAAGAACAACAAAACTCCTATAAGAATCAAATAAGATCGTGCTAAATGAACAAATTCTTACTTTTAATATTCAGAATTTCAGTTTATCCAGCAGGATTTTATTTTAGTTTATTAATTTCATGCTTATTACAATCCTAAAGAAAGAACAAGACGACTCGTCTGAGAATCGGACAAGATTCTGCTGCATAAACAAATTCTTAATTTTCAGTCTATATTTTCAGAAATATATTTTCTGTTTATCCAGCAGGAATTATGTGATTTGTGGAACTTGGAAGATTCTCATTTGATTCCATTAGAACTGATTCCAAATCCTGACAGTATTATGACAGAAATTACTCTAAAATTGCTTGATGATTTATA